CAGGGCCTCACACACAGTAGGCAAGTATTCTATCTCTGAACCCTACTGAAAATGCTTCTGGTGGACTGTTACATGTCCTGGGAAGACAGATGAGAAATGTCTGTTTACCTCAGATAGGGAGCTCAGAAACCTAGAAAAGAACTTATGAAGCCTACCATGGAGAGGTAAATGAACATGGTGGGGTTGCAGGAGCCCAAGTGGCCCATGAACAGCTACACCGCCCAAAGGTCCCATCCCCATTGAGTTTCCACCTCCTACATTCTTTAATATTTTTAAGATTATATCTACATGAACAGGAGGGAGTAGCGGTTGAAATCTCAGGAGAGGGTCAGAGGTATTATGGCGATCTCGTGATTCTTTCCCTCGAGCAAGTGGGTTCCATGTTCATAGGCCCACTAACTGTCTGCTATGTAGGTCTGCAGGCTGAGGTCTTTGCTAGGTCATCAGAGCTGCTGTGCCCATGATGGCAACTGTCATGTCAAGCCCAGAATGAAGAATTCCTATCCAGTACTTAGCAGTTATGGAATCTGTTATATTGAGACTGCTCTCTGGTTATATTCATGCCACAGCCAATGTTTCATCTAACTCAGTGCCAAGGGAAAACAGTAGGTATTAGTAAACGCATACAGTTATATATATATATATGTGTGTGTGTGTGTGTGTGTATACATATATGTATGTATGTGTATGTATGTATGCAGTATTTATTGTGTATGTATGTATGCAAGTCATAATTTAAAATACTGTTGTGGAAGTCACCATGGGTTATTTTTAAGACCAACAAACTAAGAACAAGGTCACACAAAATAACTTACGTACAGATTTATGCAAAAAGGTGGCTATGCACAGAAAAGCCAGGAATTTGGATACTTGTGAAAATTTAATTGGTTTATTTCTCAATCTAGACAGCACTAGAATAGAACAGCTAAATCTGAGAACATACAGAACTATCTGGGAATTCAGTGTGCTTGTCTTTGGTGGTGGCGGTGGTGGTGGTGTGTGTGTGTGTGTGCTTGGGTTTTGGTTTTTGGTGGGATCTGTGATTGAACTCAGCCTTGTGTGTGCTAGGTAGATCCTCTGCCACTGAGCTACATCCTTTTTTTCCCCTCTAAACCCAGCATTATTCTTTTGACCGAATAGTATATCAACATTTTAAGATTGTAAAGCATCCATATGAGTCATTGGGTTAAATATTTTCTGTAGTACTTTCTTAATAGGCATACTACAGTCTGAATTCTTATTTTAAAATAGCATATAAAAGCAAATATTTTATAAATTGGCATTGGGTGAATATACTAGTAAATCATTTTCATGTCAAGGTTCATTTCATCATCTGTATGAATTATCCACATTAATATAGGCAAGAATTGGACCTGTTCACACAGGCCTGAAATCTCAGCTATTTAAAAGGCTGAGGCAGGAGGATTCCAAGGTTAGGTATTACTTGGGCTACACAGAGAGTTCAAGATCAGCCTGGACAATGTAATAAGACCCTGTCATAAAATTAAAAAGTATAAAAAGGACTTGGAAAATACTCAATGGTCCAGTGCATCTTTACTGTGTATGAGGCCCACTGTTTTGTTCCCAGGACTGCAAAAACAATACTGCTACTAATGATAACAGTAATTAACAGTGGGATCAGAGGAATTGTGCATTGATAATTACAGTGCACCCTGGCTTGTTTTTAAATGAGATGTCAAAGGCAGTTATGAATCAATTAATGTAGATAAAGAGGTTATTGGGGTACATAGTGGGTTATGTCATTTTCCTTGCTTATACACTTTTTGCTTCTTGCATCCCTAAATAAGAAATTTGTTGATATTGAGTATTTTAGAGTTTTTCTATTTTTCCTACTAAAGAGCTTGCAATGGCGACCACAGACATTCAGGCTTTTATTAAACAAACTGTTATCTTTTAAGTGAGATAACTCTAGATCTTTATTACATTTATTAATTTACTTCTTTTATCTGTGTGGCGTGGGCATGGAGGGGTTCCTGTGTGCCGTGGTGCATGTGTGGCAGCCAGAGGATATCTTACAGAAATCACTTCTCTCCTTCCCCCATGTTGGCCCTGGGAAGGAAGCTCAGGTCATTGGGCTTGGCAGCAAGCGTCTTTACCTACTGAGCTATCTCCCCTGCTCTTAAACAACCTTTGCAGACTACTCCAACATTAGCTATGCCTACTGGCTCACACCTGTAGTCACAGCACTCGAGAAACAGATGCAGGGGGATTGCTGCCGATTTGAAGCCATCCTGGGCTGTGTGATGAGGACCAATTCAGTCAGTCCTATAGGCAAAACCACATCTCAAAAATAAAATTTTATAATCCCAGTACTTGGGAGGCAGAGGCAGGCGGATCTCTGTGAGTTCAAGACCAGCCTGGTCTACAAGAGCTAGTTCCAGGACAGGCTCCAAAACCACAGAGAAACCCTGTCTCGAAAAACCAAAAAAAAAAAAAAAAATTTAAAAGTCTCTTCTGCTATGGGATATCTTAATGTATAATGTGAATGAAACTGCTTTGGCCTATAGCAAGACAGGATAGAGCCAGGTGAGAAATCCAAGCAGAGATACAGGGAGAGGAAGCTCAGAGTTTGGAGGAGATGTCAGCCAGCTGCCAGAGGAACAAGATGTATTAGAACACAGGTAAAGCCATGAGATATGTGGAAAAACATAGATTAATAACAATAGGTTAATTTAAGTTGTAAGAGCTAGTTAGTAGTAAGCCTGAGCAATAGGCCAAACAGTTTGTAATTCATGTTAAGCCTTTTAGTGATTATTTTAAAAGCAGGTGCAGGACTGGGCAGGAGAGAAAAGCCTCTGTTTACACCCTCTGAATTTGACTACCTGAGATATGTCTTCAGGGTCAAGAAGAGAACATATTTTAATCTGCTGAGTGCTGGCGCTATTTCTGCCAGGACTCTACTGGGTACCTTATCTTGCATCTTCCTCAATGGAAACAAAGTTGAGCCATTCCTCTTGCAGATCCCTTTATGATTCCCTGGTTTTAAATTATGTTGAACTTTAAAATTCTTTGGATCTGATATTGACTTGGATTTTTCCTCTGTATCTTCTAAAATAAGTATCTAATATATATATTGATTATTTTTCGGTTAGTTTTTAAGGAATTTTGTTTTTACCAAAAGCTACAGGTAATTTTTCCATTGAATTTCCAAAGCATTTGAAATAAAACTTTTTTTAAAAAAAAAATTATTTATTTATTTATTATGTATACAATATTCTGTCTGTGTGTATGCCTGCAGGCCAAAAGAAGGCACCAGACCCCATTACAGATGGTTGTGAGCCACCATGTGGTTGCTGGGAATTGAACTCAGGACTTTTGGAAGAGCAGGCAATGCTCTTAACCTCTGAGCCATCTCTCCAGTCCCCGAAATAAAACTTCTTAAGAAATTTGAAGTTTCTCCTACCTCTATGTCCCCAACTGTGGGGAGATAGGCATATTCCTCCATGCCTTATCTGTTACTGATTTCTAAAAATAAGTCTATGGAACTATAGTTCATGTGCTATATAATCCATCCATTTTATGTATACAGTTTGAGGCTGAGGAGAGAGCTCAGTCAATAAACATATTTGTTGTGCAGTCACAGCATCTGAAGTCAATCCTGACCACTAAAGTTTAAAAGCTTGGTGTGGTGGCTGTAGAAATCTCAGTGCTGGGGAGGCGGAGGCAGGTGCTCACTGGCCAGCCCACCAAGCTCAATGACCTGGGTCTAATCCCCAACTTCTACATGGCAGAAAAAGAGAACTGACTCCCATAGTTTGTCCTCTGACCCCCACATCCACACCATGTGGCCTGTGCATGTTTCCCCTCCATACACAAATAGATAAACACAATAATAATAATTTTTAAAAAGTAGCAGGTGATACCTGATTAATGACCTCTGGCCTCTTTATGCATACAATGTTTGAACACACGTGTGCCCATGCATACAAACACACAGAAACAATCAATAAAACGTACAGTTCGGTGGTTTTTTTTAACACGTATTTGCAAAATCGTGCCATCAGTCACAGGCAATTTTAGAATAATTTCACCAAGTCAGAGTAACAATCCATTATTTTGTCTAATACCTCCCTTTCAACCCCCATGATGTCCCACAGACCCAGAGAAGTCCCCTTTTTTGTATATTTTATCTGACCAGAATGGTGTAAGGTTGTGTTCTCATTAGTACTGTTGAAACTCTGTGGTTAATAATTATTTCAGAACAGAAAATTGAAAACTGAGGCTGTGGCTGTATTTTATAGAGCATCTGGTTTGGTCCCCAGAGCACAGAGAAAGAGAGACACAGACACACACACACACACACACACACACACACACACACACACACAGAGTTCTTACAAATGATTGATGGCCAGAGATGTGGCATGTTTGGTAGACTGTTTACCTATCATGCTTAAACTGCATGCAGGGGCACAGGCTCTAATCCCAGCTCTCGGGAGACAGGGGAATGAATGATCAGGATTCCAAGATCATCTTTGACTGTGTACAGTGCGTTTGAAGTCAGCCTGTTGAAACAAAAGTATCTGTTTCAAAAAGAAAAATAAAATGAATTGAAGAAGTGTTGGTGTGGGGCAGACACACGCACTGTGTGGGATCCTGAACACACGTGATTACATGAAGCTGTCATCATCTCCCAGAGAACCCAGTGTGTTAGGTAGAAAAACAAAGAACGTGAACAATAAGGGTGTCCAGTAAGGTGAGTGATCCCATGGTGGGAGGACACCTAAAGGATACCATAAAGAGAACTCAGGTTGGGGCTGAAGTCAGGGACTATTTCACAGAGGAGCTGGCTACCAGATTCTTTCAAAGCCTGTCATGTGAGAAGAATTTGGGACTGCGTGTGGGTGCTGCGCAGGTGCACGTGGCGTCTGTGTAGCCTCTTTCCTGGGACTTTTGCCCCTGTTGGCTAGAGCCTTCTGGCTGTCTTGCTCTCTGGCCAGCATGCCACGCATTCCTCATGGCTTGTTTCTTCAACCCAGTGTCCAACAAGCACCCATTTGTGGACAGCAACCTCCTCTATCAGTTCAGAATGAACTTCCGTCGCAGGCGAAGACTGATGGAGCTGCTCAATGAGAAGTCCCCCTCCTCCCAGGAGACGCACGACAGCCCCTTCTGCCTGAGGAAGCAGAGCCATGACAGCCGGAAATCCACCAGCTTTATGTCAGGTAGGCCGGCTCCATTGTGCACGCATGCGGTTTTGTCTTTTGAGAAATGATGAAGAGCGGGTCTGGGGATGTGATTCCTTTGGTATACTGCTTGCTCACGTGCAGGAAGCCCAGGGTTTTAATCCCCAGCACCACTCGGGTTCGGTGTTGTATGCCTGTGTATTCCAGAACTCACGAGGTGGAGGCAGGAGGATTAGAAAAAAAATCAAAGTCGTGCTCCACTACAGTGTATTAGGGTCCACTTGGGTTCCACGTGACCTTGTGTTAAGAATAAACACTCACTTGCATGCTTCTGTACACGCGCATGTGCGTGCGCACAGACACACACACACATACACACTCACCAACTACAGAAGTGTGAATTGTTTAAGAGGATCTCCAGCTCCCTTGACATTGATGCTAGGAACTTGTTGACTTAAAGTTCAGAAGCTCTGGGTGGGTGTGGGACACTAGCTTGTCACCCCAGTCATTGGGAATGGAGGCAGAAACTCAAGGTCAGGCTTGGGTATGTGACTTCTTGAGATCCTGCCTCCAAAGGAAGAGAGGAAAAGAGGGAATGGAAAGGAGAGGAAGAAAGTAAAGAAGGACGTGGGAAGGAGAGGGGGAAAGGAGGAAAAATAGAATAAGCATTGAGTTTAACTCGGCACCAAATAGATTGGTCATGTCTTGCTTCTGAACAAGAACTGACAATGAGGACTTGTACCCCTGTGCATGGAGACATTTCTGTACCTCGGGCTTGTCTGTGTGGCTTTTCTCACCTAATTCTTACAATAGCCCCAAGGAAACGGTTGTTCCTCTCCTCATTTCTCAGATGAAGAGAACAGTCCCGAGCATTGGAGCATCTTACAAGCAGTGGACGTAGCTTACTCTGAGCCATTCGTCTTTAGCCCCCCTTCTGAGACCCCTGTTTCCCAAAATCCTCGTACACAGCCAGGGTTCAGTCTGAAAACGAAGCAAGAGCTGCTAGGTAGAAAATAAAAACCAGCTGAAGGTCAGCAGCCCATGCCTGTGCTCCGACGTCTTCTGTGGGTGCCTAGTAGCAATTCATCCTTCCTGCTTCTGGGATAGGGTCAGTAGAGATGACGAGAGTAGTGTACTCCTGGAAAGCCAACGTTGGTTGTTTGCTTGTTTGTTTGCTTTCCACAAGCCAGTCAGTAGCCAGAGCAGCATCCCTACACTCCTTCACCTCCAGGCCTTCAGCGCCACCCTGCTCTGCGGCAGGCAGAGCCAAACCTGAAAACTGAAGAAGACTCTGTCTCACGTAACAGTTTGAAAGCCTCAGTATGCGCCGGTTTAAGCATTGTCTTCCATGCTTCCCGATAGTGGCTGTCATTAAATCAGGAGTCATTTGCTAGTCCTGGGGAGGAAGTATCACATATATGATAGGCACTGGATTTATACCCAGGAAGGGAAAACTTGGGTTTGGTAGTTCTTGGATTCGTGTCCGGTAGCAGCTGGGGAGATGGCCCTGTTAATAAACCATGATGACCTGCATTTAGAGTCGCAGCACTCAGATAAAAAGGGTATGTTAAGATTAAAAAAAAAAAAAGATAAGGTATGTTGTCATGTCTCTTTACTCCCAGTGCTAGGGAGACAAAGACAGGATAACTGGACCTTGCTGGTCAATCTATACTAATCGTCAAGCTCCAGGTTCAGTGAGAAAAATCAGGTCCCAGACTGTAAGGTGGAGATCAGCTGGGGAAGACTCTGGATATTGACCTCTGACCTCTACACGCAAGAATGAATACACATGTGCATATGTGTATACAACATACACACAAATATGTACATACACACTCGAATACCCCAAGACAAAATAATCTTGTAAACTAGACACAGTGGTGTGCCCTAGAATTCCAGGAACCTGGCAGTTGAGGCTAGCCCAGGCTCCATAATGAGCCCTAATTTGAAAAGAAAGAGAGAGAGAGGGAGAAAGATATTCTTGTTCATATACATTATACGATCTTTTCCTCACAGCCACCTTGTGGAGTAATATTATTTCATTTTACAGTCCAAGAAACCGAAGATGGCCTGATTTATGCCATCTGTGACTGTGTGAGCAAACTGGACACGGAATTCTTACCCTGTAGCTGAGGACCCAGGAGTTTTAGGTCCTAAGCCAGCCTGCTCAGTGACCGTGTTTGCTCCCCCTCTACAGTCAGCCCCAGCAAGGAGATCAAGATCGTGTCTGCCGTGCGGAGGAGCAGCATGAGCAGCTGTGGCAGCAGTGGCTACTTCAGCAGCAGCCCGACGCTCAGCAGCAGCCCACCGGTGCTCTGCAACCCCAAGTCTGGTGAGTTGGAAAAGGGTGCCTATGCTCCTGTCTGCGGAGGCTTGGGCCCATGGGCAGGAACCTTACCACAGTGGAGTTGAGTTACCATCTGTTGAATGGCTGGGAAAAAATAGCCCATGGAAGCCTACTGTTGACCGGCGAGGCAGTCCTGCGCCGGGATGCCTTGCAGAGTAGCCCTGAGAGAGCCCAGTCAAACATTCTTGTTGACCAGTTATTCGAGATTGGTTCCCCTGAAAGGAAGGATGTCTTTGCTGAAGATAGCTTCCTTTAATGAGATGGCGCTCGCGTCAGCTTAGGACTGTCCAACACCAGCAGCTGGGGTCAGCAGCTGAGAGGAAGGAGGTCTTTGACTCTTGAAAGGGCCTCAGCACCTCCTCAGCACTGTGCAAATGCAGCAGAGAAAGAACTGCATTCCCAGACCATGAAGCAAGGATCTATGTGGGCCTTGTGCTGTGCGCCCTTCCTTCCTTCCTTCCTTCCTTCCTTCCTTCCTTCCTCCCTTCCTCCCTCCCTCCCTCCCTCCCTCCCTCCCTTCCTTCCTTTTGTTTGCTAAGACAGGGTCTTAGCCCTGTATGTCTGGTATTCATTAAGTAGCCCAGGCTGGCGTTGAACTTGCTACAGTCTCCTTGCTGGATACTGGGATGACTGACATGTGCCACCACGCTTGGTTTCAATGCCTAACACTCATAAGGAGAAAGGGCAGGAATACACAAGCCTGCCCACTGGAATTCATTGGTGTTTTGCAGTTTCAAAACCTATTCATCAGCCTCCATGAGGACTTTGAACCCCGTCATAAGGCTGGCGAGATGGCTTAGAACATAAAAGTGGTTGCCATGCAAGCCCGACAACCTGAGTTCAACCCCCAGCATCCTCAGAATTTACATAAACATGGAAGAAAAGAACCAGCCCCACAAAAATCTCTGATCTCTGCACGTATGCCATATCATAATCTGTGTGTCTGTCTCTCTCTCTCTCACAGACACACACATTCTTATTTTAATAAATAAAAATATTAGCCATCTCTATATATTAGAATGATATATATTTAGGAGTAGATATAAGTATCTGACCTTTCTACTCTTCCAAAAGAACAAAGCCATGGCTGCCGCCATAATCCGCATCGTGGTGATAAGAGGGGACATCTTTAAGGATAATTCCCTGGCTTTCAAAGTTTCTGTTTCCCGACACAAGAAAAAAATACATTAAAATAAACAGCCAGCCAAGCTGCCAAAAATACCATCAATTTTTTCTAACCCCCTGAGGAGTCACAGGCATGGAGAGAAGCTTGTCTGCTAAGCAATAAGATCTCAACCTTCACATGCTCACTGCTTTTCCTACCTCCTCTCTGTCTCCCGAGACATTTCGTTTCTCATCTTGATATTTGACCTACTCCCTTATCCTTCGCAAACACTGATTCCTTTTCAAAGCTTTCTGAAAAGCTAAAGTAATAATCCCAACCACCTGTTCCCTACGCAAGAGGCATTTCTTGACTCTTCCCTAGGAGGGGGCTTCTTAAGCCTGGGGCTTACCCAGCAATTTGGCCCAGCTGCCTGGGGATCCTGCAGGTCTGCTCCATGCTGCAGGTCTGCCCCATGCTGCTGCACACTTGTTGGGGACCAGTGTCTGATCTCTGAATGAATGCCACTGACAAAGGGAGCTGAGGGGTGGGTACTTGTCCAGATTGGACCCTGGCCTTCATTTCTCTGTGGCACTTAAATCTCTGCTGTGCATGTCCCCATGTTAGGATGCTTGATCCTTGTGCCCAGTACCCACTAGCTGTCCTGGGAGGCTAGGACAACCCCCTATCCAGCTCCAAATGATCAGAGAATGGACAGGGAAATTCATTGCTACAGGATGGATGGAGAAGTTCATTACTGGGGGGGGGGGGGTGCCATGCAGCTGTCTCTGTTGCCTCGGTAAACAACATCAGAGAGCTGAGGACAGACAGACAACGCTGGACACTGTTACTGTTCACAATTTCTGAGATGGCATAGCCTAGGAAGCCAGTGATATGGTTGCTAAGAAATGGACCCTGGCACCCATGCCTGGACTTGATCCCTGTTTTACTACCCAGGCTTTAGCTGGGAGAACTAGAAGTGAACCCTTTTCCTTTAGAGGAAGACGCCATTCCTCCCTTTGCCCCCTCCCAAGGCATCTTAGTTTCTTTTCTCTCACTTGCATCCCCGTGGTTCTAAAAGTTAGGCTTCAGTCCTTGGCTGGTACTTCCTGTCTGCTCAGCTAAAGGAGGCGGAGGTCTTTGCCACTTTTACTGGTTAGCAGTCGAGAGGCGGCGTTCAGGAAATCCCTGCTGAATGACGAGGAGAAGGACTTAGAGCTGCGTCTTCTCTGACCCTATGCCTGTCTCTTAGTGCTGAAGAGACCTGTCACTTCTGAGGAACTCTTGACCCCAGGAGCTCCGTATGCCAGGAAGACATTCACGGTAAGCCTGACTCCTGGGCACACCCACCTGTCAGTGTGTGGCTTAGGGGACGAGAGGGAACACTTTTCTCTAACTCCCCTTCCTTTTTTTTTTTTTTGAGATGAAGACCTCATAGGTCACTATGTAGCCCTGGATGGTCTGGAGCTCACTATGTAGACCTGGCTGGCCTTGAACTCACAGGGATCCTCCTGCCTCTAAATCCTAAGTGTGGTGATAACACACGTCTTTACATGTACCCATCTGTGCATTTGTTTTTTACATGGTTGTAGTTGTAGACTTTCTGAGCTCCAATGCAGGGAAATGTATTAAAACCTCCCTTGAGAGGCCCGAGAGATAGCTCAGTAGTTGAGAGCACTGACTGCTCTTCCAAAGGACCTGAGTTCAATTCCCAGCACCCACATGGCATCTCACAACTGTCTGTAGCTCTGATTCTAAGGGATCTGACACCCATATACAGAAATACATGCAGGCAGAACACCAATGTATATAAAATAAAAATAAATTGTTTTTTAAAATCCCTTGATTTGTTAATGACATTTTAAATTCTTTTTGATGTGTCCTTTTAAACATCTACTATACAATTGTTCTAATATAATTATATATCATTATATCTTATAAGACAGATAACAGTACAAAAAATTTCTTCTTTACAGTTAATTATGAAAATCGTTAAACTGTTAAGAGAATCCTAAGAAGGAGAAGAAAGGAAAGAGTAGCCAGTGTGTATTGAGGTGTATAGCCCCCTGACTGGGGAGTCCTGCGTTGAGTCGTCTATCTGACTCGCCCTTTCTTAGTGTTCCTACAACCTTCTTTCTGCCATCCCCAGACCCCACTGATTATATTTGAACAGAATCTAAGTTATTTTTCTGAAGGATCTCACACAGATATCAAATTATGTGTAGCCAAGAATGACTATGAATCTCTGATCCTCTGGCCTCCATCTCTGAAGTAGCAGGACTGCAAGACCACATTGGTTTCGTGCAGTTGTGGGGTTCAAACTCAAGCCTCTTGCATGCCAGGCAAGTGCTCTACTAAGAGACATCCCCAGGCCCAGTCACATGATCTTATCGGTACCATCTCCCCTATTGTGCTTGCTTGCTTCTCTCAGTCTACAACATCCACATGAATAAACTTTTGAAGAACATCCCCCACCCCTTACTCTGTTTCCCAACTTCTGTTATTGCCTCAAGGAAGAGACATTCATTCACACCCCAGACTCTTGCTGAGGGCCCCTCCCATCTGAGCACTGAGGAGTTAATGTAAGAAGGGCCGTTATAATACGTCTGTATCAAGGGGAAAGGCAGGCACACTGTATTTGAAAGTGAAATTAGATATATTAAATTCATAGTAGTGAATCCTGAAACCACAGAAGTCCCCGGTCGTCTTAAGAAATTCCACCTGAGTTCCTACTTGCCCTCTTGCTTTTTCCCAATTTCCAGCTGTTGAGAGGGCGCTGTTTTGAGAGCATTTGTTTTTCTTCCTGTTAGTGCCAGTATCACTAATCCTTGACTTTGAGGATGTTCATTGGCACATGTGCTAAGGATGCCTCCGGAGCCATCCTGCCAGTTCTGATTCTGTAGGAAAAAATATGCGTCAGTGCCAAACAATGTTTGGACCAGAGTCTGTTTGCAACTTGTGAGTGAGCTTTATCTGCTTTCTCACTTGGTTTCCTCGGTACGGAAAACTGTCTTTCAAAAGAAGCCAAGACTCTTCCTGTCTCTCCATCAGTAGTTTAAACTGTTCTTCTACACTTCGATGTAAGCCAGGTCGAAGTCTGTCGTTTGGATATAAAGGAAAGGTCATGCTGAGGTAGACATTGGATGGAGAGAGAAGGAGCAGCGATGTTCTTAAGGTCTTCTCAGACTTCTGCTGGGATGTATATGAAGTTGGCTGTCAGCCCAAGGAAGAGGCATGTTGCCAGCTGTTTACCGGGAAGTAACCTCCCCAGTCCAAACAGGTTATGTGTGTCCACTACATCTTCAATCCCCTGACATGGTAGAAATGAAATAAAGAAAAAAAAATATGTCAAGACTCATAGTTAATCCTGGGTCAGACTTTGTTTTCTTGGGAAGACAGGCAAATTGCCAGGGACAGTCTGCTGCTTGCTAATTGTGGCTTTCCTCTCTAGATTGTTGGTGATGCAGTTGGCTGGGGCTTTGTGGTGCGAGGAAGCAAGCCATGCCACATCCAGGCTGTGGACCCCAGTGGACCTGCAGCCGCCGCAGGGATGAAGGTACGATTGATTGATCGGCTCTTCTGTCTTTTCTGGCTTCTTTGGGAAGCATTCATCGATTGTGCATTTTTTTTCTTGACTTCACATTTCTTTATTTTCTCCCATGTGTTACCCCCCACACCCCGGAAAAAGTCAAATCTGTAGAGCATAATGTCACACACCTGTAATTCCAACGCTCTGCACACAAAGGCAGGAGAATCCTCCTATGCTGGCAAACCATCCAATCGGAAATCAGTTGTTTCCCCCACAGCGGCCATGCTTCTATTGCACCAGTAGGCACACCTTGCTTAGTAGGTTGGTATGATGGCATGGCGATGCTACCACTGGGTAAGTGTAGTGGTGACTTCTCCTTAGTCCGGCTTCCTTCCTCTCTGTCCTGAAAACCAAGTGTATTGTGTCTTCAGCCATCGCGCTTGCTATCTAGCTACAGTGGACAACCAGGAGCAATGTCAATAACCCGTGTTCTTTTAGGGCCTTTGGGGGCCTTCCAGGCTAATAACTTATAGGGAAATATCTCGTGCCTGGTGCTGAGATTTTCATTGAACAATCTGTGCACTCTGGTGGAAAGCATTGCACACAAGTAAAGGGAGCCTCTGTTCAAGTTCCTTCTTAAAAAAAACGTGTGTTCTTAACTAGCGTACGAAGCAGTTGGTTTCCATAAAGGTTCTTCATACAGCCTTGGCTTTGGTTAATGCACTTTTCAGCCCTTCTTCCCCTGGTGCTCCTCACTTGGTCCCTGCTTAAATCTGTAACCCACTGTATTACCCTCAAATGTGATTTTCTGTTTCAAGCATCTTTATCTAGCACAGTTTTGTTCTGTCCTCTACAAACATTTCACAGAGGATGTTGATCTTGGATGATGAGAAGATTTCAAAGATTGGAAAGGCCGGGAGGTGGGAAGGCACGCCTTTAATCCCAGCACTCAGGAGGCCTAGGCAGGCGGATCTCTGTGAGTTCAGGGCTAGCCTGCTCTACAGAGCGAGTTCCAGGACAGGCTCCAAAGCTACAGAGAAACCCTGTCTTGAAAAGCAAAAACAAACAAAAGATCGAAAGTTCCACCATCTTCCCACACAGCCTTTCAATGCCTCCATCCTCCCATCGTATCCTTGCCTGGTGCTGTAAACCCGGGCAGCAGTGGCAACGTGTAGATCGCGCCTGTCTGGAATCCAGCCTGTGACTCTGGCATTGCTTCGCACACTTTTAAAGGGGGGGGGGGGGTGGGCAGCTAAGCATGGCCCCCAGAAGCAGAGAGCTTTGTATCCCTGCACTAGAATAATTGTCTGACCCCTCCCCCCATTTGAAGAACACTTCTCACTAGGTCCTGTGCTCCAAATGCTGGCAGCCTCCTTGGCTAAAGTAGCTAAGGTTAGGGTCCCTTCCTACAAACGGATACAGAACCCAAGGAGCTCAGCGAGAGAGCTGCCTTGCTTGCTTCCCAGCTGAGGCTGAGATTTTCGTTTCCTAAGGAACTTTTGGCTCCAAGAAGGATTTTCTATTCTACTTCCACAATGACTACCCTGTATAAACTATGTTTGGCACGCTCCTTCAATTCTGAGCATGTACCTCTTCACTTGAAGAAGGACTTGGCTGAAAACACATTTCCCTTGAGGAGGAAAGCAATGGATTCACACAACAGCTAAAGACCTTGCCCTGCCCAGCTAGCCAAGCTGACTGGGAACTCAATTGCTTTCAGTCCGTCTCTTGGAATTAACTGTCGAATCACTTTCCTGGGCATTGACAACTAGTTAATTGGCCAACTTTTTATGTGCCTGAAGAGTGGCTGGCCTAACTTTCTCTTGTTTTTATAAGCTAATAGTTGGTTTGGTTCATAGTCCTGTCTCCTCTGGAGGTGTATGACAGTTCTCATGTGGCCCCCGAGCAGTACAAGTTCCCTGTACCTCTTACTTCTATGAACTACAACCTGGAACTATAAGCCAAAATAATCTCTGTCTTCCTAAATTGCTTTTGTCAGGGTGTTTATTTTTATTTATTTATTTTTTTATACAACCGAAAAAGAAACTCGGGCAGTGTGTGTGTGTTCGGGTGGTATCTTGCACATATATGTGTGTTTGGGTGTGTACCAGAGGGGGGCGTTGGATACGTTCCTCTATCCCTCTCTGCAATAGTCCCTTGTGATTGGATTTCTCCTTGAACCCGGAGCTTCCATTTTCCATCAAGGATAGCAGCTAGCAAACCCCAGGGATCCTCTTGTCTCTGCTCCCTCAGTGCCAGGATGATAGGCACATGAGTCACATAGAGCTTCTATGTAGGTGCTGTGACCTGAACTCTGGTCTTCTGCTATACGGCGAAGGATATTATCTGCCGGGCCACTTTGCTAGCTCCCTTCCTTTTGGTTTGTTTGTGACAGGGTCTCTTGTGCCCCGCCGTGAACTCTAGGTAGCCAAGGGTGACCTTGAACTCTTGACCTTCCCCAGTGCTGAGATTGCAGTCCTGCTTGGTTGTGGTTTACAGGGAGCTGGGGATCAAACCCAGGACCCCATACAAGGTAGGCAAGCGCTCTAGAACTGAGCCGTATCCCTGGCCCCAGATAGAAAGCGACCATCTTAACTTTACTGGCCTTCTCTACACTGAATGCCACAATCACCCTATGTTCTGGTTTGGATCTGAGATGTTTTGAACCCTCTCTTCTCAGCTTGGAGTCGTGGTAGAAGGTCAGGATTGACGGCTAGGAAAAAAGTCAGCAGGCATTAAACGAGGGCCTTTAAAGGTTAACTCCTCCCCTGGTTCCAGCTGCAGCCTCGACCTCCTGGTCCTTTGCCTGTAGATGGTGGCAGTACCTCACAGTCCTCCCTCCCTGCCTTCCCCTGAGTCCTGGACTAAGGAAACTTTGAGCTCAATTCAACATACCCTCCAGTAAGTGGTGTCTGTTTGGAAGGTGACCTCAGCGGCTAGAGAACTTAACTAATGCCTTATGTCACTGTCTTTGACTTTGTCTCTTTCTGTTTATGGAAAGGAAGCCCTCCATCTATCCATCATGACTTTCCCTGCAGGAGAGTTTGCTCTGTCTCCGGAGCAACAGGGTTTTACTGCTTCGATTGCTTAGAGCAGAGGTCTTCTCAGAAGTTTTTGGTGTTTACCATCGCTCTCTGAGTTTATTTCACCTTGTCATGGGGATCAGAATGCTTTAGGCTGGGGGCCACCAGTATGAGGCTAGGACAGGCCCCAGGCTGATGACAGTGGGCGCTTGTTTCCTCGGTGAATACTTCACGATCTTTCCAGCCAGCATCTTTGAATATGGAGCTACTCCAAGTTTGTAAAGGTTTTCCCCCTCCTCCTTCTCCTTTCTTTCTTCTTTCCTGAAACAGGATCTGATGAATTTCAGCCAGGCTTTGAACTTGCTATGTAGCCAAAGATGACCTTGATTCTACTACTTTCGTTGGCACCCACACTCAGTCCTGGAGTCACAGGGGTTCTGGTTTGGGAGAACCCGTTCTCAGTTTAGGAGGTGCTTTGTGAATTCTAGGTAAGCATTCTATCAACCAAATCACATATCACACCCTACTTCTTTTACCGTTTTCTGCCACTTTCGTGATGGAGTCAGTTCTTTCTTCCTTGCTGTTTTGTAGACTACAGTCTAAAGCGTATTCTGCGGACACTGGCTTCATGTCACATCCCACTCTGGCTATCACATCACGTCTAACCCCGGTTCTAGAGCCCGATGAATTTATGATCGTTTTGTGGGCGTCCTTGGTGCAAGCTGAGTCCAAGGATTTCCGTTTCTCAAATACCTCCTGATGGCTCCATGTGTGGCCCTTAAGGAAATCGAATTAAGGAGCTCTGGCACTTAACATACACTAATGGCTTCCTGTTAAATGCCAGATGTAGTCAGAGATCCTTGATCTGGGCCCTGCCCCTGAGAACCTTATCCCCTGCCCTGTGTTCCTCCCAGTCCCACTGGCTTTCTCAGTAACTTCCAAACACTAGGTGTATGCCTGCTCTGGGTAAGCACACTGGATCCACTGTTGTCTTCTGGGTTTTAGGTATGAATGCTAGCTTCTCAGATAATCCTTCCTTAACAGTAAAACCTTCCTTAACTATGCCGTGAGATTTCTCCCCTTTGATTCCGTAGTTACTCTTTATTGTACAACCCTGCTGGTTCAGCCATCTCAGCCAATAACAAAGATCTCAGGCACTGGGTTGTTTAAACAGCACACATCTGTTTGAATGTCTAATGTCAAGGTCTTGGTCCATCCTGTATGTGGTAGGGGTCAGTTTCTTGGTTTATGGATCAATGTCTGTCTTTTTTTTTTTTTTAAGCAAGAACAAGCTCTCCCCTCGCTTGTTATGAAGCATGCTAGTACTATCCATGAGGGCGCCTGCATGACCTAACTACTTCCCATAGGTCCCGCCTACTGATACCATCCCACTGAAGGATAGAAATTCAGCATAGGCATTTTGGGAGCAGGCCACAAATATTCAACCCATAATACCCACCTTATTTTCTGTACAATCAGAAACTGAAGACATGCATTTATATGTTTAGCACCAATACCCAGCCCATGGATTATTTATTATCAGTCTAAATAATGGTAGTTCCAGTATCTAAGATAATCCCTGACATTTAACAACTGCTTGAAGCAAATTTATTGGCAGATCCAGCGGTCTTTCTATAGAAGACGTCAGAGAATTCATGTACTGAACATCTGCATCATGCCTTCAGATATTTTACAGCCATGATCTCTTTTATTTTTCCAATCTCTTATGAAAATACATGGAAACAGGCTCTTTACCAGTCAGGAGGTAAAAGGACCCGCCGTGTAAGTGTCAGGACTAGATTGAAATTCCTATGCTGGAGGTGATGGTGGTGGTGATTGCTGTTGCTGCTGCTAGTGTTATTTCGAGACAAAGTCTTACTACCTACCCCAGGCTGGCCAGAATCCCATTAGTTATGCAACCCAGGCCTCTGTCTTCCCAGGGTTGAGACCATGGTCTTATTTCAAGAAATGTAAACCTTGGCAGCAGAGCACAGTAGATGACAA